ATTTCGTCCCTATTATCAAACAGTATATAATAAACAATCTTCGGTGTACAAAAATTACTATCTGCATTAGAAATAGTCTTATTTTTCTTTAGAAAAGAATAAGATGCCAGTTTTTGGCTGTGAAATAATATGGTAATTCTAACCTTTTTTCCACATATAGATAGAATATATAACAGACACTCTAACGTAACATACATATAGTAGTATAAGAAGACTCAACGGTCATGACCATATCATGTTTCTCGTCTGACTTTCCCGGACATCACGCCCTTTGCGGATAAAAAGAGTACTTCGGTTGTAAACAAGAACGAATAACATAACCTACAGCAGTAAATTTTTGTAATTTTAAATAGTGGACAAATGCACTTCTCTTTTAATTAAAGATATGAAGGACATAAATTGTCTTTCTTTAAACCAAGGGTTTGTTCTTTTAAATATTTGACTAATAACTTTAAATTGTAATATTTCTTGCTGTTATTAATTAGGAAAATAGTTATGAATATTGAAAGAAAATTGTTCTAACAAAAAATAAGAAAGAATTGCTGAGGAGTCATGTCATTTGCGAGTTGCATTTTAAAGAGAGTAAAATTGAAAAATTTAAAAAAATGTAATAAACGGCAAAAAACATTAAATGAAAAGAGATCTTTTAAAAGTAGGAGCTGTCCCTTCAATTTTTCCAACCAATGTCAAAGACAAACTCGACTACTCGGAAATTTTTATATTATTTATATTATATATTTGCTGAATTTTGTGTTCCTTCCTATATTTAAATATACCTAAACACTAATTATTTCACGGAGAGAAATTCATAGTAGTGGGTAACATAATTATGGTTAGGGTGACTGTTAAGAGTATGTAAAATTATTCACTACAAATTAAAATTGAAATAGTTTTGAATCTGAGAATTTTGTAGAAAATTATGTTTCCTTCACAAACATAATTTCTGATCTTAGGGGCGAGTCTACACTTTTATGGCATTGCCTGCTTAGGTCCTAGGTAACTACATCTGGACTTATAAGCAAGTTATGGAACATTTTTAGCAAACATTGATCTTAACATTTTTTGAAATGTACATACTCTTTTCCTTTCCCCCCTTTTTTGCAACCTTTTGGCGTCTCTTGAGAAAAGGACTCTTTCCATTGAATCAGTCTTTTTCCGCCTTTCTTATCGAAAAGTCGTTTTCTAAGATTTCGTACTGAAAATCGGTAGCGTCCCTTTCCGTAAACACTTTATCTTTTCATTCTTAAGAGCGATTAAAGTGTAGCTACATTTTTCTTAATATCTAATTCAAGAGTTACAATTAAAGAGCCTTTTTCACCTTTGATACGAAACAATGCCTTTCACTCTAGAGAGTTAAAATCGCGTTTGTAAGACCAGAGTCATTTTCACCCTTGCAGGCAACCTCGAGTGTAACCGCTATTTGCAAGGTTCTCTTACGAACCTTCTAGAGTAAAGTTCTCAATTCTAACAATATTCTTTATAAAAAAAACTTGCTTAATTATTGGTCATTTTTTGTAATAATTATTCTCACTTGCCGCTAAACACTTTTCAACTCAAAATTGTTACAATCAACGAAAATCAGTGAACAATTAATAAACTATTATTTTTCTTGTAAAATGTGTGAGTTTTACTTTCCCGAATTATTAAATGTGCAATTGCTCTAAACAGTGACCATCTTTAATGCTACGTATACGAACAGCTGTCTAGATTACAATCCTTTAAAATTTTGAGGTTATAAATATGTATAAATTTTATCGTCTTTGATTAACTATAACAAAAATAATTAACTAACTGACAAAAGTTGGAATCAAAGATTCCATATTCCAGAACACTATGGAATATTTTTGTAAAATTGTTCATTTTAGATGAATTTAAAAACACTCGCGAATTTTTTCAATTGCATTGAAACGTGTTTTCATATTCAGCGCATGCGCTCACGTTAAACTTCGACAATACTTGATAGTAGTGACTACAATTAGAAAGTTAGCATATATGTATATGTTCTCGGGTAATATCTTAGATTGTAAAAAGTGGATAGTAGATTGTACCCAGTAATATAATGATGGTACCACATACAATCTTTTTTTTAACCATCAAATTCTAACTATCCATTTTTCTCAGTGTTGTTACGATGTATGAAAATACATAAATAATTTATGTAAACACTGAAAAACTTTTCAACTTTAAAAATATTCAATTTCTGTAAACACATCGCGAATCTGACAGTAGCAGACGATATTAAGAATCCTTTTCCCTCGTTAGAGGCACTGCTATCCAGGAGAGTAAAGAATCATGATTTGAGATATATGAAATTGGCACATGTATGAAAGAAAAAAGTCTTTTATTAATAAACGTGTACACTACCGCAGGAAATTGTCGGTACGGCTATACGCGCACGGCCAAAAAACATACCAATTTGTAAATCACGATTTTTTTGTAAATACAAATGTCAGAAAATTAACAAATATATACCATTCGAAAGATTATTAAATTCTTCGATTAATGATACATAACTGAAAATTTTAATAATTTATACAAAGATTCCAGCAATCGACAAATTTGACAAAAAAAATTAAAAAATAAAATTTCTTTGGAAATTTTTTCAACCCTTGCACATTTTTTAAAAACTGTAGAAAAAATTTGAAACTTACATAAATGTGATCACTCAAGTCTTATCTTTAATTTAAGACCAAAAGAGTTTAAATATCTTATTCGGTTCGTGAGATATCATTATAAACGTCCGAGCATGTTTTTTTAAAATGTATTGAATTAGTCGATTTTGAACGATTTTTGGCTAAAAATGCTCGACGTTTATAATTATATCTCGCTAATCGACTTGAATGATCACACTTATGTAAGTTTCAAATTTTTTCTACAATTTTTAAAAAATGTGCAGGAGTTGTAAAAATTTTCAAAAAAATTTTATTTTAAAAATTTTTTTGTCAAATTTGTCGATTGCTGCAATCTTTGTATAAATTATTAAATTTTTCAGTTATGTATCATTAATCGTAGAATTTAATAATCTTTCGAATGGTATATTTGTTAATTTTCTGACATTTGTATTTACAAAAAAATCGTGATTTAAAGATTAATATGTTTTTGGGCTATGCGTGTGCAGCCGTACCGATAATTCCCGACGGTAGTGTATATCTCCTCACTCCAAATTAAATTCAAGAACTGTTCCTAAATGTAACATAATTTTTTTTACAACTTTTACTTACTTACATAATTTGTTTAGAAAGTTATTTAAAAAAATGCTCTTTCTCGAAGATACATATTCCCAAGTGTGAAATTAAAAACGGCCCAATAATGGTCAAGTATTGGCAAAGTTGGTGCCGAATCTTGGCAGACAGTACTGGTCCGACTCTTGGGAGGTTAACCGCGGCCAATGATGGGCTGTTTTTGCAGTCTCGGTATTTCGCACTTAGGTTTTTTCACTCGTTTATTATATAAAGACGATTCAGCTGTATATTTCTAACGAATCGTGTGATTTTTCGGTTTTCCGTAACTAATCGTCGTGTCTTAGCTTGAGTATGTGCGTTATTAATATGGGTTAGATTTTCACGTCGTGTTAAATATATTTACCTACAGTTACAGTGACATTCACTAATGTCATCTACCATCAGATAGTAGAATGGATAGTAGAACTGGGAAGTGAGGAGGAGAAAGAAGAGGTGATGAGGTTGAAAGGATGTGTTGAGAGAATTGATGAGGACAGAACGTGGAGGGAGAGGAGAATAAGATGGTTGCTGGGGGAGAAGGCTTGGATTGAAATAAGGAATGGAAGAGAGGTAAGAATGGGGTAAAATGGTGCGTGAAAGAATGTAATGGACAAGTGTTTGAGGTTGGAATGAATGATCGGGTGAATGGAGAGAAATGAAGAAGGATAGTTTGATTGTAAGTTTGTTGGGATTATGGTAGTGGAAGGTTAGGAGGAAATTGTGAGAAGGAATGGTTGGAGAATGAAGATTGAGGTTAAGGAGTTAAGAAATTTAAAGGGGTGAGACGATAATAGGGAATCAGTCAGTATGGACAAAGGGAACTGGAAACGGAAGCCCTGGCACTGGGAAATTTTTGAGAGGATGAGTGAGATGCGAATAGGTTAAGTGCGTTTAGGTTAAGTTTTGTTGATGTGGGATATATGAGCGGTGTTATAGTTTAAGAATTTTTGTATTTAGAATAAGTTGACTTGTGTATGTACTTGGGAGTCTCGAACCCTGCCTATTGCAAGGAGAGTAAATAAACACACAATACAAAAAGAAAAAATTGTTTCGTTTTTCAACTGTTATTTACGATTCGTAGAGAATTCGTTTGAAAAATGATTATTTTGATTCTGTAAACATTGACTTTAAATGGACGCCATTTTCGTTTTTTTAAATTTTTTTTAATTTCATCATATACGTCCACTAGGTATTAATGTATACTAAGAAATAAATTTTGTTTTCTTTATTTATTAGATTATTCGTTTTTATTTTATTTATTATTATTTATTAGACTGTCAGGAGCAGCTCTATGGAAGGCACCGCAAGTTTAAGTTTTAATGCTGTATTTTAAGATGCCAAAAATGTTTTTAATCTTTTAAATAAAATGACTGTGAAGAAAAAACAGTAAAGTGAGACCTATTTTTTTGTCTTCGCAAACGCAAGTACGCCTTAATATTATTAACTTTTTTGTTGTTAAATTATTTATAATTATTAATTTATAACCATAAATAACAATACGGTATTTATTGTGACAACATTCTTAGCAAAGACTGGACCAGTACTGCGCTAGCGCTGTCTAACAGCACTGACAGACAGTACTCTGCTAGTTGTACTTTTTCGTTTGGATAATTATTGTATTAGTTGCGTAAATAATTATAAGCTCTATTATTTATAATCACTATTATAATTACAATTACTTACTGTAAAATAATTAATAATTATTCACAAATAATAAATTATACACTTGTAGCAATAACAATTTATTAATTAATCTCTTCATATATAAACTTTTTTTTGTTAACTGGAAATATTTGTACCTACAAGAAAAGTTCGTTAAAAAATTTGTATAACTTTCATATTCTGTTAATTAAAAATTGGAATTTAAATAAAAATTTTGCGACATTAAATTCCATTTATTTAATAAATTCAACTATATATGAAATTCAATCGAATGCAAATTCATTTAATGAATTTTTGGAATAAGAGTCTAATAAATTTCCCTCTTCTTCCCCCCCCTCTCTCTCTCTCTCTCTCTCTCTCTCTCTCTCTCTCTCTCTGTCTCTCTTCACAACTGTTCCTGTTTTTAAAATAATTTTCAAAGTTAAACTTGAACTATATTTTTAACAATGACATTTATTAACCTAAATATATTGCGGTAATAAAAGGTCCGTTATTCTATGGGACGAAGCGTGCGCGGCATATTCTGCGTCGAAATATCGCTTCGATAAATCGCGTTCAATTAATTAACGCTCGTGAATATTGCATGATGGTTGTTTTTCTTGGGGGCTATCTAATGTTTTTATTGTCCCTCGATTGTCTCGCACGATTTTCAAGTGAGCGTAAAGTCAAGTGATGATTACAAAAAATATTTCATTTAATTACAAATATATTTAACTAACAATTATTATATTTCATTAATAATTATATTTTCATAACAATTATATTTTAATAATAATATTTTAATATCAATTATCCTTTACTAATAAGTGTATTTTATTAATAATTATATTTTCAATTATAATATTTAATCATATAGTATATTATAATTGTATATTAATAATTAAATAATGTTATATTATTTACTATGTTCTTTTATAAGCGCATTGTTTTCTTAATTGTAATTTTAGACAATAGTTAATATAACAAAAAAGTACAGACTTTGGGTCACTATTATGCAATATTAAAAATAAATTCCTAATTGCTTTTAACAATAATGAATTATTATTGTTATGTGTTTAAGTTAAATTATTAACTTTATAAAGAACGATATATCTGATAAAATTTCATCGTTATTTGTATATATAAATTCAATATATCTTTGCACCTGCCGATATAATGGAAAGAATATTTCGATTGTAAAATTTTATTAATATCCAATGGAGAATAAAACATTCGCTTGCCAAAAAAGCTTTTCTTTTAAATTATTTCTTCACCTATTTGGGTGTAGTGTGTGTGTCGGTGAAGAAAGAAGAAAGCGACCTAAGAAGCAAATTTTTATAGGTTATGTTTGTTATGTTTTAAGTAAAAAATACACAAAAGGGATCAACTTTCAATATAAATTATAGAAAAAGAGATTTTATTGACATTTTGAATTTTAATATTAATTTCATAAAGTTTTGAATATCTTATACTATTGTTTATGGATTTTTATGAAGTTCACACATTTTTTAGGTAAAAATGTTTACATTAAAATAAAAATAATGTTAATAAAAAAGTTTAAAACATTTTTTTAAAAAATTTTTTGATTATTTACTCCTCTCTGAGAAAAATGTTAATAACATATTTGGAATCCTTATGAATTTACATTTAATTTAATAAAACAAAATTGATGAAGACTCATCTGGTTCCAGGGATATTAAAGTTTTTGTAAAAAAAGATTAGCTGCAGCAACAAGGTGAGCTTCGAATAAAAACCCAACAGTTCTTGCCCATCCAATTATTTTTGGTATCGTTTCAGTAAAGCCATACAACAATTTTAAGACCAAAAAAAATCGGGATATGAAATTTTTAATAAACTTAGTTCTCGATTTTTTCATTTCGGATATTTAAAAAGTCTTCATTTGTTAGTGAGTTGGGCAAATTCTACAAAAATTGAGTAGAAATAAACAAAACTTCGATAATATATAAGAATTTAACTACAAACATCTAAATTTTAAATGGTTCTGCAGTTTTTCGGGATAACAGGATACGAATTGTATGTCAGATTTCCAAAATTCGAAATAGCGGATTGTATATGGCAGATGATTTGGTAAATCTGACATCGTATTCGCATTCAGTTGTACCGAAAATACGCAGAAGTATTTGAAATTTATATCCTGGTTTGTAGTAATATTCTTCTTTATTATCGAATTTTTGTCTATTTTTACTTAGTTTTAATAGAATTTGCTAAACTCAGTAAACAGAATGAACGATTACTCAGAGGAAAATGAAAATATTTTAAATTTTCAAAATGCATTTTAAAGAAGAAAAGTAGCGTCTTTAGATCTAATATTGAACTTTTGGCAAAACAATTATCTTTTGATGTTAAAAAACTGGTCTTTTGTACTTTTAAGTTAAAATACCTCGAAAACCTGACGTGCAGGGTCTATTATGATGCTGGATTCGGAATTATCACGTTGAAAAACTTCGGAAAAGTATTGTTTGATTCTTGTTTAGTAAATACTGTCAGCTTGTAGTACAAACTGTTCCTAAATTTTTGAAAAATTGATGATAAACGACAATTTCTTCATCAATTTTGGAAATTTTTAAGACTTAACAGTAATTTTCTGTGCTTTTTACTATAGAAAATCTTTGTCGATGCTTAAAAAAAATTCGAATTCTCCGGCTGCTACTCTCGAAAAAATTGTTTTTCCATAGAATTTCTTTAAATTTTGAGAAAATATCTCTTCGGGTGTCCTTTAAATGTGGTAGAAATTTCAAAACCCTTTGCGATGCTAAATTTTGAGATATTCAAGTTCAAACTTTAACTTTTACATGCGATTATGTTAAAAATAAAAAATGGCAACCACAATATTTCGTTTTTTGACATGGGAAAGAGTTTTGAAATATTTACCACATTTAAATATTTACAAAGAAACATTTTCTCAAAATATGAAGAAAATCAATTGAAAATCAATTTTTTCAAAAGTAGCAGTCGGAGATGTACCTAAAATTTTTTATTTAAAAATTAATTTTTTTATTAACTTTATTTTTATTTAAAATTACATATTTTTCCTGAAAAATGTGTGAATTTTATAAAAATCCACAAACAATTTTTCCGAGATATTTAAAATTTTATAAAATTAATATTAAAATTCAAAACCCATGTAGAAATTGCAGTAGGATTCTCATAGGAGCCTTGCAAAATTTCCCTTTTACCTATCTGAGTCTGATAAGGAAAAATGTAGGGAACTGGTTGGGCCCCGGGACTTTTTGTGACGCTCGGATTTTGTCAGAAATGTCTTACAAGGAAATGTCTCGAGGACCCTACGAGAACCTAACGAGAAAAAAACTGATTATTTCTGTTTAATAATTTAAGGTTATTTGCTTCTAAATAATATTATTTATTTATTATTGTAAATTTTATTATTATTTATAAATAATGTGCGTAGTTTTTGAAATATATTACTCTAAAAATAATAATAAAAAATAATCTGCTTTTTTGATTGTGAAACATAATTACAATTTTTATAAAAACTGTTTAATCAACTTTTGTTTGCTCATAAAGTAGTTTTCGAAATATATTACTTTAAAAATAAAAATACAAAAATAATCTGCTTTTTTGATTATGAAACTTAATTACAATTTTTATAAAAACTGTTTAATCAACTTTTGTTTGCTCATAAAGTAGTTTTCGAAATATATTACTTTAAAAATAAAAATACAAAAATTATCTGCTTTTTTGATTATGAAACATAATTACAATTTTTATAAAAACTGTTTAATCAATTTTTGTTTGCTCATAAAGTAGTTTTTGAAATATATTACTCTAAAAATAATAATAAAAAATAATCTGCTTTTTTGATTGTGAAACTTAATTACAATTTTTATAAAAACTGTTTAATCAACTTTTGTTTGCTCATAAAGTAGTTTTCGAAATATATTACTTTAAAAATAAAAATACAAAAATAATCTGCTTTTTTGATTATGAAACTTAATCACAATTTTTATAAAAACTGTTTAATCAACTTTTGTTTGCTCATAAAGTAGTTTTCGAAATATATTACTTTAAAAATAAAAATACAAAAATTATCTGCTTTTTTGATTATGCAACATAATTACAATTTTTATAAAAACTGTTTAATCAATTTTTGTTTGCTCGTAAAGTAGTTTTTGAAATATATTACTCTAAAATAAATAATAAAAATAAATAATAATAATAATAATAAATAATAAATAATATGCTTTTTGATTATGAAAAATCATTCAAATTTCTATAAAAACTGTTTATTTAATTTTTGTTTACTCATAAAGTTTTATAAAAGATATATTTGATTTAATAATTGATGAAGAATAACAAATTTTTATAAATTTTGTTATAAATTATACTAATAAATTTTCAAATATTGTAAACACAATAATCACAACATTTTTAAATAAAATAATTTATTAATTTAATATTTTAATAACAAATCTAATTGAACAATTGATAACTTATTTAAACTATAAAAATGGATTAATTATTATTTACTAATAAATGTTTAATATTAAAAGAATTGAGTATTTTTTAATTGTCTTCCAGTGAATTTTTATTTTCTTCATCGTCTTCTTTTCTTTCACCTTCTGTTTCTCTTAAAATGTTCTTTCTTTTTCGATTACTGCGTCCCCCATCCCAATCTTTTGCATTTGGGAAAACAGCACTTAATTCTTTCAAAAAAGATTTTAATGTGACGGCATCTTTATTTTCTTTCCCTTCCTTGTGGCTGGAAGCAATTGCAGCTAAAAAAATATACAATTTATAAAATTATGCTAAATTAAATTTAATAAATTACAATTTTTCCTACAAAAAAGAGTCTTGCATAAATTAGTGTCCTTGAAAACCCTTTTTCCCTCAGTCGGTTTTGATGTCACAAACTGAAGTGCAAGTTCCTTCGATAGCAGCTTTTTTAATAAATTTGTAATGCTTTTTCTGACATTAAGATTTGGGTCGAAATAAATTGTCACGGTACCTGACTAGAAAAACAATGTTTGTCATTGAGGATGTTATTAATTTTATTGTATATTAATAAAAATTGTACTATAAAATTTAGCAATTTTATAGGAAACAAAAACGAAAAATTTTAGTAAATTTATAAGCTTTTTTTATTTATTAAGATCTGTAGAATACTTACGAAATTTCGCATAAAATCAACTTTTCCTAATTTAGCTTCTAAGTCATCAAAAGTTTTTGCATCTTTCATTGGCAGTTCCAATTTGTTGTCTACAAAAAATTGGACACGGCTTGTTTCCGGCAATGGAATGCATAATTTGTTATATAAATTATCGATTTTGTTTCCCTGAATGCGCTGCTCTTTCCTCATTTCTTTTACAGCCACATGTAAACTTGTGAGTCTGTTTAATATAATATCTAACGGAAATGTAAATTTTTAGACTGTTAAAATTAATTTAATTTTAAAATTTTATAATTCAAGTAAATTGAATGAATAATTTTACGGATGTATTATTTTTATAATCATTGCCTGTTTATAATTATTATTATATTTACCAAGTTTAACTTCCACTGAATTATTTTGGCATCCTGCTGTTGACGACATTGGAGGTGAATCTGCCAATTCTAAGTTGAAAAAATGTTTAATATATTTAAAATTGTTATATTTAAACAGAAAATTTAATTTAATCAATTTAATTAAAAAAACCTTAATTATTTGAATAACTAAATTAATGAAATAAATTTAATTAAACAATTTAATTTTAATTTAATAATTAAAGACTATAAAATAATTTTTTGTAAATTTTCATTATTTCTTTAAATTACTTCACTATATTTTATAAATAAAAATTCCTGTTCATCATTTGTAAATAATATCAAACCTGGGTTATTCTGACTAGCTATAAATTTGTCTCTATCAGTAAGTTTAATTTTCTTAGTGCCTTCTAAATTCTCAATACGTCGAACAGCTAAAACAATAATAAAGTTATTACAGAAATTGTATTATTAACTATAAAATAAATATGTACATTATTTTTTCAATTGAAGTATTCTTTAAATGTTAATAATTAAAAATTGTAACTAATTTAAATTAGTGGCTCATTTTTTCTATGAATTAGTTCAATTTTACTAAGGAATTATTAAAAATAATTTCTTAACAACTCATCATTAAAATTTAACTAGCTGAAAAATGAGTCATTAATTCAAATTAGTTAAATTTTTTACTAATATAGATTTAAAGAGAAGTTGAACTGAAATATATTTCCATTTCAGTTTTTATAGAAATTAAATAATTAGTACTTGGCAGATCATCTTGTTTCACGAAATTTACTTTCTTAGTAATTATTTTTCGTTCAATAGAATCCATCCCAATTCTGTGTTCTTTTTTGGTAGAAGTTTGTAAAGCGTTTGAAGACTCGATTGTAAAAAAATTAGGTGAAGAAAAAATAAGTTACAAATTTAATATAATATTGTAAGTTGAAATCTAAAAAGCTAATTAATATTCCATATTTTAGAACAATTAAATTTTTCAAAATTGATCTCTTAAAACCTATGTCAAATTATCTGCAATAAAAATGGTTCACTTGAAACAATTTTATTGGCATATATTTTACGTTTTTATATTAACATAAAAAAATATAAATTATTTTACTTTTGGATTCACCATGAGTTCGTTTTCGATTTTTATTATTACTGCATACACTGCATACACTTCCAGGTCCCAACTTGTTTTTTCCTGCTTTGGCTATGTCCACAACTGCCTGGATTGCATCAACTGTGGACTTGCCTTTACGGAAACCAAATTGGTGATCCGATAGACTATTCTCTCCGGTCAAGTGGCTTTGCATTCTCTGCAGAACCATATCCTCTAGAAGTTTACCCATCGTATCTAACAGGCAAATAGGCCTGTACGACGAGACTTTATCTAGAGGTTTTTCACCTTTCCTTAGGAGGACTAACCTCTGTCGCTTCCAGTCGCGGAAGAACTCTCCTCTCTCAAGGCAAAGATTGAAGCATCGAAGCAGAATCTGGGGTGAAGTGTCGATTACCAACTTTAGGATCTCGTTACTTATCCCATCGATTCCAGGCGCCTTGCCTGTATTCAATCTTCTACCTGCATTTTTCAATTCTGTAAGAGTGAAGAGTTCCTCCTCACCGACTTCGCAGGTACTCCAGTCCTTCCTAACCCACTGTTCTGCAGGAGGAAATAGAGCTCTTATAATCCTTCTGACCCAATCGGGATTGTCCAGGCCGGGGGTCTTTTGCCTCGTTCCTAATTTCTTAGTAACGATTTTAAAAGCCAGACCCCATGGGTCCTTCTCGACTTCATCAATTAGGTCTTTCCAGCAACGGCGTTGTGACGCTCGAATCTCTTTTTTCAGGCTTTTCTTGGCCTCCTTAAATACTTCCTTTAGCAAAGGATCTCCCTTAGAACGGGTATAATTCCTTCTAGCTTTGAAGCACGCTTTCCGCAAGGAGGCCAGCGCATCAGACCACCAGTGCACCGAGTTTTTCCGTGAAGGGGTTCGCTTACGACGCGGCATAGATGCATCGCAAGCTGTGGTAATGACTTTCCTTACCGCTCGCACCTCTGCATCCAGGGTATTCGGCCTCTTCACCCATCCCGATTCCTTAATAAGGCGGGCTTCTTCTAGGGAACGGACAAATTTCTCCTTATCGATTTTCTTCACAATCTATGAGGGGCACTTTCGACACGGAACTTCCTGTCTTTTGCCTCCTCCTGTGTCTCCCACTGAGACCGAAAACTCGATATACTGATGGTCACTTGCGGTATACTCCTCAGAGACTCGCCAGTCGCTTATGCGTTTGAATAAGGGAGTTGATGCTATCGTAAGATCAATGATGGATCCGATTGCACCCCTCCTGAACCTTTTCCGGCGACATGAAGTACGTCTGTCTTAGCCAAGTCAGAGCACGTCAAACACTTAGGCTGTTTGACAGAGCAATTCTTTGCGATATGACCCTCACCGCCGCATCTCCGACAGCTTTTAGTTCTGTCGGGGCCCTTGCAATTTCGAGTCACGTGTCCGTAAACAAGACACTTTTGGCATCTTGCTACCTCTAAATGCTTTCTGACTGCAGCATTTATCCATCCTACTTTTATTTTGCCCACTTTTAGCAGAGAATCGCTCTCTGCTTCAGTCAGGCGGACCAACGCCACTTTTGTGCCACTAAAACGTGGCAAAAGTCTGCACTCTATGTCCAGGTCAGGCTTTTCCAGCTTTGTCCTCACGGCAGAAACAACGTCTTCACTTGTCGCTGTTTCGTCAAGTCCTTTTATCTCGAGAGTTCTTTTATTCACAAGAGGCATAACCTCGGCTTCAGTTTTTAAAACTGAAGCAAGAGCTCCTGCAAATTTCAAGATCTCTCCTCCTTTTTTTACCACGATCAGGGCCTCCTGATTAAAAGTTCTCCTGATCTGAAGGACATCATTTCCAGATTCTCCTGGTTTTACGGCTGCAAACGCCTTTTTTAAAATTTCGTTGTAAGCCTTTGGATCTTTCGCTGAAATCTTAATTGCTTCCGTTGTCCTAAGCTTCAAATGATGTTTGGGGAGCTCATTTTTCTTTCCTGCAAGCTTCTTCTTTTGAGGTCCTTTGTTTCCTCTGCTGACTACTTTAAATTCGTCAGATTCTGCCGATGCATTCCTTGAGGTGACTGAACCATAAGTCTCCCCTGAGGCCATCTTTTCACTTCCCTTTGGAAGTATAGGGTTTTGCGCTGGAGCTTCCTTGCACTTAACCCTCTTTTCCACTGGAGTTTTCTTCTGAAGACTTGCCTCCGGACTTTCGTTCTCTCTGGGGCGTTTTCTATCAGTTATATCGCTTCCCTTAACAAACTCTTGAGTTCCTTTCTTTGGCGTACCAGGATTCGAGTTTGACGTATCCATACTTAGAGTATGAGGCTCAGGATTTTTAAACGGCTCAGGGATAAAACGCAAGTTGCTGCGAATCACCTCGTGCGCCCTCCCTATAGCCACCATACCATCCTGAACATCTTTACTTATGTTCTTTTGCTTCTTGCAGGCACGCCACATGCTTTCTAGTATTTTTGGAATCATGTCGACTTGCTCAACAACATTTCTTTCGAAGCTGCTGAGCTCCCTATCCAAGCAATTTAGGTTTTGGCCCCCCCCCCAAAAATCCGTGGGGCCTGCGACGGTCTTAGAAAGACCGACGGGAGTATTGTCCCCTTGCGGGGTTCCTCCTTGGGGTAATTCATTAACACCTTGACTCATATTCATTAATTTTTGGTTTTTTATATCAGGGAACCACCTTCGAGGGTGGCGCTCCAACTCTGTCGCTAATGCGACTTTCTGCTTTTCTCTGCGGTCATCCTGCGTTAATAGTTAAAAATTTAAAACTATTTCAATATAAAGCGGAATTAACAGCACAACAATAATTAAAAATAACAAATGTGTAATTAAGTGTAAAAAGTAAGAAGATAAAATTATAAACGGATATATAAAAAAAAAAAATAAATAAATAAACGCGTATAAAAAATTGAAAACATAAAACTGTACAAAGATGAATAAAAAACACAAACAATTAAAAAATGTATAAGGACAAATAAATCACAAAATAAATTAATAAAAAAACAAACGAATAAATTAAAAGCTGTTTAAATTACGCTTTTTGGCGGCCGTCGAGATCCTTCCTCGACATAACAGAGATTATGAAGTTCTCGACTTGCCGCCAATTCTCCTCTGACTGGGTCATCAGCGATACCATGTTCTCCGGTGTAACTTGACTGTTTACACCTTCGAACATGGCCTGCCTCTCCAAGTCCCATTTCTTGCATGAGAAGAGGGTGTGCTCCGCGTTGTCCTCAGGGAACTGGCAATATGCACACACCTCGTCCTCGCGTAATTTAAAGCGACACAGGTACGAGTTAAAACACCCGTGACCTGTGAGCGCCTGAGTCATATAATAGGAAACCTGACCGTGTTTCCTATTTATCCAGGTGGCGAGTGCCGAGATAAGGCGATAAGTCCATCGACCTTTTTCCTCACCATCCCATCTTTCTTGCCATCTTTCTATGAGCCTGTGCCTCGCTTCTTTGCGGATCAGGCCCTTGCTTAGTCTTAATTCCTCATTCAAGGAACTGCTTTCTTTAGAAAAGAGAAACATTTCTTCCCTTTCCCTCGCCAAAAGATCTGCTGGCGGGACACTTGCAAGGACCTGCACAGCACTCGTTGATACCTTCTTATATGCAGAGATGATACGCGTT